TCTAATGTCCAACAAACCACCAGGGAAACTGGAAAGTGGAGCTAGCTTCGAGCAAAGAGGTCAGAGATGGCATCCAGGCCCTGAGTTCAAGCCCAGCGACTGACAAAAAAAAAAAAAGAAAAGAAAAGAAAGAAAATAGAGGCAGAAAAAGGTTTAAAAGCAAAGCACTGAGCGAAAGTGCTACTGGCCCTGTGCAGCCATCGACCTGACCACTTCCTGTGTTCCAATGCAGCCCCCGCCACACACCGCCCGTGAGGCTATGTGCAGGTGCCTAGGCCTCTTGGAGCCTCAGTTTCCCCTCGGAGCCCTACAGCCCAGCTCGCTGGAGGCCCTGGCCCAGCAGCAGGCAGTTACCCACTGCCCTTGGCAGGCAGATCAAAGGGTTATAAATAGCCACGTCTGAGTTTCTCATAAATGTGTTAAGTAGGCCCTGGCGTCTAGCCCAGGCCTCTTGGGAGGGGGGGGGGCAAGGGCATGGGGTCTTCTGGGTAATCAGTTGTGGCTACATGTAAAAGGGGTGATGCCCTAGCTGCTACCTTCCCCCCCATCCCCCATTCCTTCCCTCTGCCACCCCGTCCTGGGCACAGGCTCCGGCCTGGCCAGCCCTGCCCAGTGACTCAGGCCTGGGGACACACTGGCCAGCTCCCCCCAGCGTCACCCCACCCGCCTGGCCTGCATGAGGTCAGTCTGTCTCCCAGGGATTTCTGGGAAGGCTGTGCCAGGCAGCAGGGGTGGAGGAGGAGGAGGAAGAGGCAGACACATGGCTGATTGCTTTGTCCTGTGGCTCTTCTGGGGGACCCCCTCCCCCATCTTGAAGTCTCCAGAAGCTAGCCTTGACCCTGGCTCCAGATTGGGACTCAATGCAGATTCTGGAAGCCAAGGCTTGTCAACTCCCTCGGGCCTCAGTTTCCCTATCCGTGAAATGCAAGAGGTAGTTCTTAGGCCTGGGAATGTGTGAGGATGAGAAACTAAGTTCACACTTGACAAGCACTCCGCGCCACACCCAGCACAAGGTGAGCACTGTTGATAAGGTTAGAAATGAGGCCGCTTCCAGGGAGGCGGGGAGGCTGTGATTTCAGGCTGAGCTGCTGAAAGATGCCTTGTCTGCTCTGGGAAAGCATCTGCTTCAGGACAATGCAATAGAGAGAGAAAGACTGATGGCTCGGAAGGACTTTGTGTGAGCACCTGGATCGAACTGGGCCTGAAGCAGACAGCATTCCTGGAATTCTCAATTCCCCCCCCCCCCAGTGGTCCTGGGGCTTGAACACAGGGCCTGGGCTCCACATGTCCCTGAGCCTCTCTTTGCTCAAGGCTAGTGCTCTACTGCTTGAACCACAGTGCCACTTCTTTTTGTTTGTGTGGTACTGAGGAATTGAACTTGGGGCTTCATGCATGTTGGGCAAGCACTCTACCACTAAGCCACATTCCCAGCCTGGAATTCTCAGTTCTAACAGCCCATGTATTCCTTAATTTAAATCCTGCAGAAGGAATACATTAATTCTCCCCCTCCATACCCAAATAAATGCCTATCTCTCATCAACAGATGGCATCTATCCCAGAGCAGTGTTTCATAGTTTGTAATCCCAACTACTCTGAAGGCACAAATCTGGAGGAACAAATTTTGCAGCTAGTTGAGCAAAATTTTGGGAAGACCCCATTTTCACGAAGAAGCTGAGCATGATGGTGTCCATTTGTGATCTCAGCTATATGCCAAACTGGCCACAACTCCTGGTAGACCAAACTCTTTCTACAGACCAAATTTCAGCCGGGTGCCAGTGGTTCACTCACGCCTGTCATCCTAGCTACTCAGGAGGCTGAGGTCTGAGGATTGCTGCAAGCCAGGACAAGGGAAGTCCATGAGCCTTTTATCTCCAATAAATCACCAGAAAACCAGAAGTGGCGCTGTGGCTCAAGTGGTAGAGCACTTACCTTGCGCTGAAGAGCTGAGGGACAGCGCCCAGGTTGTTCAAGCCCCACGACTGACCAAAAAAAAAAAAAAAGAGAAAAGAAAATAGACCACACCCAGTGACCCACTTCCTCCAATCAAGTCCCTCCAATCTTAGTAGCTCGTGAACACACACACACACACACACACACTTCCTCCAATCAGGCCTGGCCTCTTGTAGACCATACCACACACACACACATTCACACACACACACATTCACACACACACACACATTCACACACACACACACACACACACACACACACACACACATTTCCTCCAATCAGACCTGGCCTCTTGTAGACCATACCATTTCCTCATAGATCCCACCCCCCAGTATTCTACTTCCTCCAACAGGCTCCACCTCCTCTGGAGACCACTTCCTCCAATCAGGCCCTACCTCCTCTGTAATAGACCACATCTCCAGTGACCTACTTCCTCTAACCAAGCCCTGCCTCCTAAGCAGCCTCAGCCATAGACCCACTTCCTCCAAATCAGGCCATACCTCCTAGCAGACCATACGCCCAGTGACCAGCTTCCTCCAAAGGAAAGGTCTGAAGTTGAGGCTGGAAGTTTCCAGCACCTCCCCAAATACCATCAAATCGCAAATCCATAGTGGCCGAATCTATTGATTAGATCAAAGTCCTAAGAATCCAGTCTCCTCTTTCGGGGTCCAAAGCCTCATGGCCTAAATGTTGGGGGAAATGACATTGTATATGCAAACCTCAACATCAGTTGAGTGAAGACAATGTACATTGATGTTGTCTGTGGCCAGTCATTGCTACATCACATTCCACTGAATCTTCCCAAACGCCCACCTTTGGCTCACGTGGCCAGCGGGGGGCCTCCCCAGCCAGAGCCAGGTGCAGTGTGCTGTTCTTGGGCTGACACTCACATAGTCTTGGCATTTGCTATTTGGGTCCCTTTGTGGGCAAACCTGGGTTGTGCCAGTCCTAGGGTTTGAACTCAGGGCCTGACCGCTGTTCCTACGCAGCTGTTGCAGCTCAAGGCTGGTCCTCTATTACTTGAGCCACAGCTCCACTTCTGTTTTTATTGATGCCAAGTAGGATTTTCCTACCCAGACTGCCGTTGAACTTCAATTCTCAGATCTCAGCCTCCTGAGTAGCTAGGATCACAGGCATGAACCAAGGATGCTTGGCTGACTTTTGGCTTTTTGGTAGCTCATTGGAGATCGGAGTTTCCCAGACTTTCCTGCCCAGGTTGGCCTTAAGATGTCAGTGCCCTGAGTAGCTAGGATTACAGGTGTAAGCCACAGCACCTGGTCAACTGTAGCCTGCCTGCCTTCCCTCCCTCCCTTCCCTTTTTTTCTTTCTTTTTTCTGCAATTTGATGTGATTACATAAATTTCACAAATTTCATGGGATAGTGATACTTAAAGTCCCAAACACATTCTAACCTTCATGGGGCAAACTGTCTTTATCATGGTTTAAAAAGTTTATGAATTCTATTTTATTTTGTCGGTCGTTGGCCTTGAACTCTGGGCCTGGGCGCTGTCCCTCAGCTCTTCAGCTCAAGGCGAGCACTCTACCACCTGAGCCACAGTGCCACTTCCTGTCTCCAATAAACCACTAGTGGTTTATTGGAGATAGGAGTCTCACGGTCTTTCCTGCCTGGACTGGCTTTGAACTGCGATCCTCAGATCTCAGCCTCCTGAGTAGCTAGGATGACAGGTGTGAGCCACCAGCGCCCGGCTAAGTTTATGAATTCTATGAGCTTTGACAATAGTTATTTCTTCCACATCGGGTGATTTGTACATTCTTTCCTTTTGCATAGTGCCAGCTGTTCCCTCTTTCCCACTTGTTCCCTCCCTCCCATCGCTGCCATTGAGTTGCTTAGTTCATTTTGATCAATGTCCAGTGCAGCTGATGGGTTCCGCTGTTGTATGTTTTTCCCTGATTCCCTCTAGTTCTGTGTCCTCCTCCTAGTTTCCCTCTGGTGTGCACATATATACCATAATATACTCTCTATGTGGTCAGCAGCATGGGGTCATTTAGTAATGATTCCACCAGATGAGTGGAGGTCCTTTGTTTCTTGAGTCTTGTTTACTTTGTCGTATCCCCTTATGTTTTGGATTTAACATCTACTTATCAGGGAGAGTATGTGTCATTTGTCTCTTTGCTTACCTCACTCAACATGATTTCTTCTAGTTCCATCCATTTCCCTGTGAATACCATTATTTTGTCCTTCCTAATGTATAAACTCTTTCTTAAACCCACTGTGTCAAGGACAAGGACAGTAGAGGAGAGACAGAACCCTAGTCCCCGGCTCCACCCTGGGCCCTGATGTCTCTCCCTACTTGTCCTGTGCCCCCTCCCAATTGTTTCCAGGTCTGCCAGCCCAGCCAGACTCACCAAACCCAAGCCCCAGGGAAGCCTGGGCACGGCTCAGGGTGGGCGGGGAAGAGCAAACCTCAGCTGATACACAGGAATCACCAGGCCAGGCTGTTCCCAGAATTCAAGAATAAGAAATGAAATATTAATACCTTTTCAAATTCATCGCCCTAAAATTTTACTATAATGAAGCAATGAAGACACCAAATGGAAGAGTCTCCTAGAGAAGAGGGGCCTCTGCAGAATAAGATCGGTTCTACCTTCACCCTGAACCAGACAGGGCTCCAGGATTCCCCGAGACAGAGACTCCTGCAGGAGCCAGTGGTCTCTGAGAAAATGCGCATGAGCCTCTGGCAGGCCAAGTCAACAAATAATGAGGACAGTAATGGAACCTATTGCCAAAAAAGTGTTTTAAAAGTCTGTCCAAGCCGGGCGCCAGTGGCTCACGCCTGTAATCCTAGCTACTCAGGAGGCTGAGATCTGAGGATCGCAGTTCAAAGCCAGCCTGGGCAGGAAAATCCCTGAGACTCTTATCTCCAATAAACCACCAGAAAACTAGAAGTGGCACTGTGGCTCAAGGGGTAGAGCACTAGCCTTGAATGAGAAAGCTCAGGAGCAGTACCCAGGCTCTGAGTTCATCCCACCACTGACAAAACAACCCCCAAACCCCAAACCAACAATGAAGAACAGAATGGCAGCCAGTACTGAAGGCCCAGGGCCCCTCTGGCCCCAGGGTTTATTTTATGTCACCAGCACTGCTGGATTGCTTCTTTGGCCCTGAGCGGGGCGCAGGACCTTGAACAACAAACCTAACAAAGCCAGGATGGTCCCCACACACAGGGCCATCTTCAGCCCCTGGAGGACAGCATCTGCCTGCCCAGCCAGGGCCTCGGCCTCGCCCAGCCTCCATGGCTTAGCCTCTGGCCCTGGCCTCGGGGCCTCCAGCCTCTCTGGAGTGACTGGATTGAATTGGGCCACGAGTTCCTGCTCCACGAAGCACGTGTAGGTGGCCATCTGGGAAATCTGCAGCTGCTCACCGCCGGTGAGGGGGGACAGGAAGGTGTGGTTATTTTGGCCAGACAGCTGGCTTTGCCAAGTAACCGGCCTGCCGTCCATCTCCCAGCGTACTGGCCTGCAGAAGGGAACTAGGTTAGCTCCACGCAGCAGGGAGAAAGTGGGGACAGCACAGGAGAGACCCCCTCTCCCCCGGGGAAACAGCAAAGACTGATCTCCCTTCATGGAGTCTGGGGGCAGGGGAGACATGTGGTAAAATGGGGGGTGGGGGCTCTTAGAGCTCTACTTTTCCTGTTGGGTGGGCTGGGATCTGATCTCCAGCTTCTTTTGTGTCATCTAAGTCCGCCTCTGCAAAGGGAGATGGCAAACCAGGTGGCTCATGCCTTTAATCCCAGCTACTCAGGAGGCTGAGCTCTGAGGATCATAGTTTAAAAGTAAGCCCAGGTAGGTTCATTTACAATGAACCAGAAAAAAAAAAAAGCTGGAAACGGATATGGCTCAAGTGGTAGAGCACCAACGTTGAGCACAAAAATCAAAGCAGCAACAACCAAAACACTGAAGAATAGCACCCAGATGGGTGCAAACTAGTGGCTAACACCCAGAATCCCCTTCAGGAGGCTGAAATCTGAGGATTGAAGTTCAAAACCCACCCAGGGAGGAAGTCTGAAAGACTCATCTTCAATTAACTACCAAAAAGCTGGAAGTGGAGCTGGGGCTTAACGTGGTAGAGCACTAGCCTTGAGCACAAAAACTCAAGAGACAGTCAGTGCCCAGGCCCTGAGTTCAAGCCCCACCACAGCCATCACCAACAAAAATAACAACACCCAGGTTCTGAGTTCAAGTCCCAGGACCGGTATCAAGAGGAGCTGGGGGGGGGGGCTGGGAGGAGGGCCCCAGGGAGGGCTGCAGCCCCGCCGGGGGTCACCTGTAGATGGACGCCAAAGGGCAGCTGAGCCACAGGTTCGAGGTCAGCCTGCCCAGCGGGTAAATGTCGAAGACGAAGAAGGGCTGGTGTGTTTCTTTGGGGAAGACACAGGGCGTGTGGCAGGCCTCCACCTGCAGCTCGGGCTGTGCCCGGGGGTACGACAGCCTGCGCTCCCCCAGGTACAGGCCGCAGGCCGTGGGGGGCTCGGGGGGGTCCTGTATGTAGCAGTACCCCAGGCGCTTGCGCTCGCCGGGCTGCCCGCAGCGGTTGCAGTCCTGCCAGGGGCCCCACTGGGTGAAGATCTCCACGGCCGCCGGCCCCACCACCAGGGTCTGGTTCCAGAGAGGCTGCTGGCCCAGGCCCCGGTGGCTGATGCGCAGGCCGCTGGCGTCCTGGAAGTCGAGCTCGTACTCCACCAGCGGGGTCCCGTGGTCCTGCTGGCAGCGGTAGCGCCCCGCGTGGAAGGGCTGCGGGTTCCGCAGCTGCAGGCCGCCCCCGGGCAGCGGGCTCAAGTGGGACAGGGGGCTCAGCAGCGCCAGCTGCTCCCCCCAGACCGACGTGAAGTACCACCGCGCCCGGTGGCTGTCACACTGCAGGACCACGTCGTTGCCCGACACCAGCGCCCGGCGGCACAGGCTGGCCCGGGGGCATCTCACCAGGGTCTGCGTCCACACGGCGCCCGCCGCCAGGCTGAGCCACAGCGCGGCGCCCAGCGCGGGCAGCCAGGCCATGGCTGCTGCCGAGGCTCCGCCCCCCGCCTTGTGACGTCACCGCGGAACCTCCCCCC